AATATCATTAATTATAAATTTATTCATATTATGCAATCATTTACATATTTTTAAGAAATAATTTGGCATTTCAATGTATAATAAAATTGAATTGTTAATTAAATTTCAATTTATAAAAATATTTGCGTTGAAATAAGTCATTTTAAATTTTAGTAAAAGCTTATACATTGCACTTACCTAACAGGTATTACAAGCTTGTTGGCTAATATTTACAACAGAAATAAAATTTTTCTTCTAAAAGCTATTTATGTTTTACTGACACAAATTATAGATAAAATAATGTTTACGACAGAATTTTGATCACGGCGGTCAGTCTTATCAGAGACTATCCATCTGCGAAGGACAGGTGCACTCTCTATTCCTTCATTCTCCGCATTCGAGGCATGGCAGTGAAACACCGCTAACTTCCTGACCACGGTCTACTACTGAAAAGTTCTTGCCAGAATAACCTAATAACTGGTTTTTGGACCGACCCAGAATTCCAACCGATTAGACAGATAGTATCTAAAAAAGTGATTTTTTTCCAAACATTCTTTGAGTGGATAGAACCGCAAAAAGCGAAGAAAATTGATGGTTATGTGACGCAAACACAGAATATTTATTAATACATCCCTATAATAACATAAATACATGAAAGTGCATAGAACATACTACTCTCATAAGTTAAGGAACGCCTAAACCTAACCTAAATTATAAACAGATTTTAAAATTGCATAATATATGTATTTCATTCATCGAAGCATCTGGCGTTATTGTCGATACATTTTTGCTATTATTGTGAAGTTACAGGCTTAAGTTGCTTAACTCTAACTTTATTTAGAATGGAGTTAGAGGCAAACAATTCTTTAGTTTTCCTAGATGTTTTAGTTATCCGAAATCCTGATAACAATATTGGCCACACTGTGTATAGGAAAATGACCCATAACCAACCGATATTTAAATGGTCAATCGCACCATCATCCTTCACAGTTAGCTACCGTAGGAAAATCTTTGTTTCAGAGAGCACGAGGGATCTGTGACAAAAACATCTTTTTTTTATAGGATAAGGGTGACAAACGAGCACACAGTCCACCTGATGATAAGTGGTTGCTGTGGCTCATAGACATCTACATTTATCTTCGATTACGAATCAAAATGCAGATGCGTTGTCACCCATGAGGACTAAGATGGAATGCCTCGTTTCCAGTAAAAAGGGTCTCCGGTTCTCTACACTCACCATACAAAACACAACAGCATTAAGCTGCTATTTTACGCTGGTATTCTGTGAGAGCGTGGACCTTCCCCGATCGAGCCTACCCATTCGTGCTACAACCATAATATAGCTGCAGCATGGCTCTACCACGTAGAAATCAGCTTCAGCATGTCGAGCAAGTATTGCAAGACAACAAGCTTCGGGTACCGCGCCTACGTCACAGTGACCGAGTGAAGCCGACCACAATCGAGCGTGTGCCTGCTGTACTACCCTATGTCAGAGGAGTCACAGACAAGGTTGGCTACATTTTGAAGCGAGCTTCTATTAAAATTTGCTGAAGAAGATTAGTCATCTTTATCATCCGTCAAGTGTAATATCCCTCTACAGGATGCACTAGTGTACAAGCTTGATTGCGAATGTGGTCTCTCTTACATAGGACAAATAAAAATATCTATTAAAACCCGCGTTAAAGAACATATAGCGTGAAGCACCGACGCTCTGGAAAGTCTGCAGTCTGTGAACATGTTCACGATCGTCCTCGCTATTACACCATATTTGATATACCACAAATCCTCGCAAAAGAACACCGATTCCTACCAAGGATGATACGCGAGGCTATTGAAATTAAAAAACATCCTAATTTCAATAGAGAAGATGGATGGGTGCTGCCATCTGCTTGGGATCCTATAATTAACAAAATTAAATCCAAACCCAAGCATAACACTGCAAGACTTCAAGATACTGTAAGTTCTTTTTGCATAAATCGAACCAAAAATTAATATTAAAAAACTGAAGGTAGCCGGGCTAGCCGTGACATCGGGATGTCAAACATCTCAGTCCCCCCCGTGACCATGGGTTGCTGTAAAGCACCCGAAACGTCGGGAATTAAAATAGTAAATTAAACGCGATAAAATCCGTAAAAAATAGTTTTATTCAATTTATTTAGAATCAATCTCATCGCGCTATCCACGGGGCTGGTTTTTCAGGTCAAAATCACCAGAACAGAAGCGATCAAGCCATAAACAGTATTTAACAGTGGTAGAGCCACGCGGCAGCTTTTGCTGTCGCACGGATGGGCCGGCTCGAACCGGGGTAGCACCACGACCTCACAGAAAACCAGCGTAGTAGAGGTTTACCTCTGCGTTTCGCTTGGTGAGTGCAGGTGGCCGGAGGCCCTTTTTACTGGAAATGATGCATTCCATCTTAGTCCTCACGGGTGACAACGCATCTACATTTTGATTTGTAACAGAGGATAGATGTAGATGTCTATGGGCCGCAGCAACCACTTACCATCAGGTGGACTGTGTGCTCGTTTGTCACCCTTATACTATAAAAAAAAAAAAAAAAAACACCGTAAGTTCAGTAGCTGGCTCATACACGTCGTTGATATTGCACGGCATCTGTGCTAAGACGAAACTTATATATTATATTTGAAATTTCAATTCTGCATCGTAGACACAAAAAATTCGGGCAAGCAATTGAACAATCAGTTCCCAAAAAGAAATGTTAGCTAAATATGACATTAATTTGAATTTGAAATTCCAAGTGATATGCGACATTATGGATCTCCAAACTCGCTAGTATTTGAAAAAGGCAATTTCTTACGTAGAAAACTCGAAAACAACGTAGAACTTTGCATAAATATTATCTTTTATTATGATAATCGCAATTAATGGATAAGACAAAAAAGGTATTAGAAAGATAATACAATTAGAGAAAAATTAAAAATCGAGAAATGTATTTTCCCCACAAATAACAGTTTTATCGACATCATTTATTTTTGAGTCTAATTAAATAGTGGGATAATCGTGCTATCCAACAGAAATAAAATCCGCTAATTTTAAACACGCCAATTATTCGCAAAACTATTATCGCGCAGATCTATAAATCGTTCGCCAGCCAATACACAAAGATAATGCATTTGGCAACGTTCGTCAAACAATCCTCAGATTTATTTTCGCCTTTTTATTCCCAGTTTATAAAATGCGTCGTAAATTATAAAAAGAAAGCGTTGTTCTATTTATTTAAACTTGTTTATGAATTTTTATTTTTATTTTTGTAAATGGTTATATTTTATATCCTCCTAATTAAATTCTTACTTTTACAGTAGTATTATTTAGAACATTTCTTTTACGAGTATGTAATAATGTTGACAAACGAGCGCACACAGACCATCTGATGGTGAGTCAATGCTGTGGCCCATAGACTGCTATTTTACGCTGGTATTCTGTGAGAGCGTGGTCCTTCGGTCCTTCCCCAGTCAAGCCGATCCATTCGTGATATATCTATAATAAAGCTACAGCATGGCTCTGCCACGTATAATGATAATACCTCTGTTGGTTTCTTCTAGGAAGAAGTAAAGTTCTATGTTTTGCTCTTTGTCGTCATGTGTCATATTTTCTTGTCCTGTACTTTAAACTTAATATATTAGTTCATTATATGGTCATGGACATTCGAAATGACTAAACCGATTGAGGTCATATTCACACAATATATTTGTTTTGTCGAGACGATAGTTATATCTCAAATAATACTATATATAAGACAACGTAAACTTGTGAGAGCAAATAAATTAAACATTATTATTATAGTTATGTTAAGATAGATAGTTGCGCTGTAGTCAGGTTATAAATAAGCAAATCGTATATTTATGGACCAAAATAACTTACACACACAATATACTATGTCGGTTTAGTAACAAAAAGGAAAATCACAAAAACGCGACGTGATAGGTGGCACTGTGGTCAAGCAATCGATAATTTTGAGTAATTCTAAGTAAATTTGAAGCGAAACTCATTGAGCCACTTTTTGGAAGGAGCAGAACGTCTGGCAGGCCAGTTAATACTAGGTGGTAGGACTTCTTTTCTGACTAGGGGATCGGCTAGTTAGGTACTACCCTCATACCTATCTATGTTGCGATCTCAAGGGTATACGGTGCAAGTGTAATTACAGGCTGCGAGGCATTCTATCTTAGCCTCAGGCGTCACAACGCATCTCTAGCTTTCTTTGATCCCTCGTGCGCTTTACCTGAGGAGATGGGAGTAGTCCTCTCCCGAGGAGGGGCCGCGGATGAGTGCGAAAGTGTTATTGCCCCCGCGAGGCGGGTATGCGTAGACATTTCCCCGTGTAAAATAATAAAAAAGGCCTCCTTGGTTTGGAGTTGGTTACAGGTGTTGATGGGCTTTATCGAGGATAAATGTAGATGTCTATGGGCCACAGCATCCCCTTACCATCAGGTGGACTGTGTGCTCGTTTGTCACCCTTATTCTATAATAAAAAAATGGTTATCTCAACGCACGTAATTTGCTTAAGGATTAAGATGGAATGCTTCGTTGCCAGTAAAACGTGTCTCCGGTTCCCTCGCTCACCATACGAAACACATTTACTCACGTGGTTGTCGCCAAGAGGTAATTATGAGAAATGCCAGCAAAATCTTATGGCTTCCGATATATGGCGGTACAACCATCACTTTTTTCAAATTCAAATATCAAAACATTTATTGTAAGTTGAATGTTACATTTGGCGTTAATTTAAAATATGATGTGTGTTACTTTTAAGCACCCTTTTCGGGTATTACAATAATTATTATATTTAATAGGACTGTGCCTAACATTAGTTACATACTTACAAAATTATTAAAATAAATACGCAATAATAAAATGTTGCTTTCACACCGGACGTAAAATAAACAAACCTGCGTCGGGCATTAACGCAAACGTACGGGATGTCTGGAACTGCAATCGAGAATCCACCTGCCAAGCGATACGAGTTTTGTATGAAGCCTCCCCACAAAAAATTTAACTCTTACCTGTGGCTACTGAAGTATTTATTCGGCGCCGAATAGTCTCCTCCTCAAACGAGTACACATAGTACTCTTCGTTCAGGTCTCGAAGAAACTGTGGCTTCACCAGCACACCGCCGACGACGCCGAAGAGACGCACGAAGCCCAATGGAGTGAATACTGGTGAAAGGATTTATTATTAGGGTTTGGTGTGTTTTAGTCTGATTTAATTTGACGTGTTTTTTATGACTCGACTTTTCACATAATCAAAAATATATGAGAGGGTTATATTCGATAGTGACATTAGTGTATGTAGCGCTGAAAACAACTATTTACAGTCAATGCATCACGTTTTGCGTTTTCTTAATATAGACTTCCTCAAAGGTTAATATATGTACAGGGTTATTTTTCAAAGTGTAGCTAAATTTTAAACTTAAGCAATAAATAATGATATACTGTTATTGCAGTTTTTGAAAATACGAGTAAATAAGGTTTCTACCCATATAAATTTGATCATGGTCGGATCAATAATTTATGAGTTATTCTTAATAATTTATATTGAAGTCGGCAGTACAAAATTTTTAATTTTTAATTATATATTTAAAATATAAAAAGGACAGTATGTTTGAGATTTTTCTTAATTAATTTTTCGTCGCCATTCACCTATATTACTTATTCTGAGCCTTCTCTGCAAATTTGGCCGGTTATTGCAAGATAACCCTGTATATACTTATACTTTGAAGACTCTAAGAAACACAGACCATCCCAAGAATGCGCCAGCTCTCATGCATTAATAGGTGTGCCCTTACTCATAGTCTCATTACACTGGACAAGCGGGTAAGTGAGTATATATGATACCCTCGTACGTAATTTGTGTTCAGCGTCATTGCGTGGAGTTTCCACTACCTGTCATTCGTCATAGTCTCTTCGATCCAATCTCAGGGCGTAATGCGTTCAAGTGTGGTTGATATTTAGAGTAAAATGTGGTTTTTTTTTTTAATGGATAATCAGTGGACGCATGTGCTTTGTAGTATCCCTTGGGGGAGGCCTATGTTCAGCGGTGGACTTGTGATGGACTGTAATGATGGTTATGATAATGATATTTTTTTCTTGAAGCTACAACTTATATCAATTTCAATTCCTATTGTAACAAAAATTATCTGTTCGCGAAAAAAATGCTTAAGTAATTTTAATCTTATATACGTAGTCTTATAATAGACGTCGTGGAAACAATCAATTCTACATTTATAATACCAACCAAATTAGCTTCAAGGAAATCTTATTTATAAATATGTAGTAACACAACTTTATTATTTTAACATTTTCTATTTTATATTCGTTTACAAAATTAATTTTTTACTCTACTTCAACCGGTCCTGTGTTTAAAATACATGATCAATAATTTGTTAGATATTACCGCGCCGGCGACGCCGAACTAAGTGACGGTAGCGCGACTTAAAAGAGTGCAACAATGACAGTGGCTAATAAATAATTCATTTTTTTTTTCTTTTTTATAAAAAAACGTTACCCCCACACTACGATTTTCTCCTGTATCGTGCAGGCAATTTACAAACACAAATTGCACAAGAACAAACATCCAAACACGGAACAATTATTTATAGGCCATACAAATACTTGTTCCGTGCGGGATTCGAACCCACGGCCCCCAGTGCAGCAACTCGTTGCTAAGCCTCTAAATAACATTTAAATGCAGAAAGTAATTTGACTGTTACAATTATTAACTATTTTTAAGGAATAAGGGTGACAAACGAGCACACAGTCCACCTGATGGTAAGTGGATGCTGTTGCCCATAGGCATCTACATTATCCTCGATTAAGAATCAAAATGCAGATGCGTTGTCATCCATGAGGGCTAAAATAGAATCCATTTCCAGTAAAAAGTGTTTCCGGATGTAGACTCACCCTACGAAACACAGCAGCATTAAGCTCCACTGCTGAACATAGGCCTTCCCCATAGATTGTCTCATAGGGGGATATTTTCCATAGTGGCCAAGCTTGGCAGACGCATTTGACAACCGCAATTTATTTTTAGTCATTATTAGGAAGACGCTGCTGCCATCTCGTGATTTGTGTCCCTCTGTCGCCTCTTACGACACCCACGGGATGATATGGAGTAGTGGTTATTCTTACGCCGCCACTACACGGCCCATATTCCACTGAATATGAGTCATATGAAAGAGAGATTAATTAAAAAAATAAAAGGGTAATAGATACACATATTTAGACCATATTTAATTTAAGAATTACAAAACGTCGTCTTTAAACACCAAACATAAGGAGTTACGTTATTTCATTTTTTTATGAGTAACAAGTAATAAAATCTTTATGACAGAAACTCATCAAAAGGACAAAGTCGATACTTAACATTTTTAAGTATAAATAAATTGTACTGATTATTTTTGTATTGCCAACCATATTATTTTCAATTGCAAATTCAATTTTATCATCTTCAAATGCAAATTACAATTTACACGCTGGTAGATTAACAACGTGCTTTAAAAAGTTCCGTATCACCAATAAATAACGTAACTTTGTACGTTTTACGTCACTCTCCAGGTGTAATAATAGAAATTATAACATATTTTCGTTTTTCAATTCGATCTACAAACCTATTTTTACAATTTGGAAGAATATCTACAAAATTAAAATACTCATCTATACAGTCACTCCATCTGGTGGTCAATGCATGATTTTTTTTTAATAGGATAAGGGTGACAAACGAGCACACAGTCCACCTGATAGTAAGTGGTTGCTGTGGCCCATAGACATCCACATCTATCTTCGATTAAGAATCAAAATGCAGATGCATTGTCACCCGTGAGAACTAAGACGGAAGGCCTCTTTTCCAGTAAAAAGGGTCTCCGGTTCCCTACACTCACCATACGAAACACAGCAGCGTTAAGCTGCTATTTTACGCTGGTATTCTGTGAGAGCGTGGTCCTTCCCCGGTCGAGCAGACCCATTCGTGCTACAACTATAATATAGCTGCAGCATGGCTCTACCACGTATAAAATGTCAATAATATCAATCAAATGTATCTACATCTTCTCGTCAGATATACCTCAAAATTTGAAAACAAGATTGTACAACCAGTGCGTGATGACAGTGATGACTTATGGATCTGAGATGTGATCCTTCACTACTGGCCGTATGACGAAGCTCAAAGTTGATGAGCAAGCTATGGAGAGGGCTATGCTCGGGGTTTTTCTGCATGATAAACTTATAAATGAGTATATCTGCAGTAGAAGTTACCGACATAGCCCAACAAATTAGTAAGCTGAAGTGGCAATGGGCAATTCGGCCATATAACTCGAAGCACCGAAAACTGATGGGGAAGAAAGGTTCACGAGTAGCAGCCTCGTACCGGTAGGCGAAGTGTGGGGCGGCCCCCCCATTAGATGGAGTGACTACCTGGTAACATGCATCGTAGATATAAAAACTTCGTAAGTCAAAAATTAATCGGCCTTACTCATAAAAATCAAAGTTTTTTTCTACGCCTTTGTTTTGTTACACTTATTTGTAACAATGCTTTATTTAACATCCGTTCTGTAAGTACTCGGACCACTATTAGGCTTCGTTTCCACCAGAGATGTGCGAGGATGCGTAGCGAGGCTGTGGAACGGTGTGAGCGTTTCCACCAGAAATGTGCTAGGCCGATGAGCGGTAGCGACGCTGTGAAACGGTGCGCAGATGAGCGGTGCGAGGATGTGTAGCGGGCTTAAAAATATAATTATATCTATGGCTGTTGTAAAAAAAAAGGTAAAACGTTTCACAATTCAATTTTACAAAGAGATATTATTATAAATAGGAATATTTTAAATGATTTTCAAATTGAATGTAGTTCATTTTGTTCAACCTCGCAACACATCCCTCGCACACATCCTTCCCTTGCTTTGTATGTACAAAACCTCGCTCCGCTGAGGTGTTTCCACTAGAGCTGTGCTGAGCCAGGCTAGGTGAATGAAGTTATTCTATTGGTTCCTAACAAACACATCCCTCGCTAAGCATTCTCGCACATCTCTGGTAGAAACGCAGCGTTAGTGTAACAGCACCTTAATTCAAGTTGCCTTGACAACCGTTACATGTTTCACTATTAGATCAATTGACAGCGGAATTCGACACGTTATAGACTTTATTGCCAATTAATTCATAAAAATGAGTGGAAATAAAATATTACGGAATCCTGCATTGAAAGAGCCAAAGGAAATAGAACTTAACGAAGAATGGAGTAACTTTATGAAAAGAATTGGCGAAGTTTCCAACTTGATAAAAGATCTTGCGAGTGGTGACAAAGAAAGAGCTGATGCGGCTACAGTTTTAGCGGATAAGTATCTAGAAGGAAAAGTTATAACGGATGATAAGATAGTAGTGAAACTGAAAGACGATAGAACTGTTATAAATAAAAACGCGTTTGAAAGCCTTCAAAAAAAAGACACTGTGAGCAAATTTTAAAATATTAAATCTTTTTAATTTACCCATCATTCATTTTATGTCACCGATCTATATCGAATGCCTTTAGAAGGTCCAAATCAAGGACGATATTATTATTATTCCTATTAATGCATTATTCATTCATCTCTCCTCATCATTATTATATCTCCTCATCATACTGATATTACAGTAAACAATCTGCTACTAACGATAGAGCAGATAAAATAATTTCAATTTGTTAAGATCCCAATTTTAATAACGTCTTCAGTACTTATACTCGCTACAAAATATTTAGGTCACATTCCATTCTTTAATTGTTGGGCGTATATATTTTATAACACGTGTGTTAGAATTTCTTATAAATCAATTTGGCTTTCGGCTCGATATAAATATGCCGCGTAAAATGTATTACTCCCGAACACGGTTTTATATGCGTCGGGTCGGTGTAATTGGTATTTTAGTACAATAAAATATTAATTTGTAGGCATGAGTGATATATTTTCGACTAATGAAATACTAAATAACTTTAACTCCATTAGTATTCATCCGCTTATAGAAATACTGACACTTATAACAGAAGCATGTATAAGTTTGTGACATCATTTAAACAATTTCAAGTATTTATAATATGAATAGTAAGCATTGTGAAACAGCAAAGTTAGTTTACCGGTAAAAAGGAACGTTGATCGAAATATCAATGCAACGAAAGGTACAGTTATTAGAGTTCC